CCTTAGTTCATGGTACCAAACATATGAACAATTTATCACAGAACAGCTCAGCAGTACTGAATTTAGATGTGCATGCATACAAAGTTCTAGAAATAATGTGGTTAACGAATCAACAGTGTTTACTGACCTAGATAACAAAGTAGGAGGAAGGTGTATGTTATCAATCACAGACAGACGAGGGTTATAACGTGAACCACTAGGATTTGCACAAGCTAATACTGAAGTTCTGGCATTGAGGGAAGCAATAATTCCAGCCTTCGCTATTGAAACGGTTTGTTGCTCCATCACCTAGAAAGTACAAGAAGCATTAAAACTTAAACCATCAAAATAAGTTAGTTGGATTGGTAAAATAATATGACTGATGAAACATCAAAGATAGGAATTTTTTTCACGTATAAAATAACAGTGTCATATATAAATTCTGATGCAATGAGTTAAATGCTGCTCTTCCTTCATTGAACAAATATTCACAGAAGAAAAAAAGGAAACAGGCAATAGATACAAGCCCCAGAGTTAAAAAGTCCTCAGCTTTTACATCGCCTACCAAATTATATAGAACTTAGATACATCTATTTCGAAATAAAACTCAAAAGCATACCAACCTCATGCAACATGCTCCTTGCATTTTCAGACATTTTGTCAAATTCATCGATGCAGCATATGCCCCTGTCACTCAAAACCAAGGCTCCGCTCTCCAACACCTAAAAAGTAACCCAATGTGCACAAGTTATCAGTTATCCACAGTTCAAACAAGTTGGATGTCAAGAAAATGCGATGAAATGCAGTAGGATCATACTGTTTCCCCTGTTTCAGGATCTTTGGTGACATAAGCAGTCAAACCAACAGCAGAGCTACCCCTTCCACTGGTGTAAATGCCACGGGGAGACAGTTTATGTATGTATTGGAGAAGCTGAGACTTGCTGGTTCCAGGATCACCAACAAGAAGTATGTTAATATCTCCACGAAAGCTTGCACCGGATGCCAACTTCAAGGCACTCCCACCAAAGAGCTGCACAAAGAGAAATCAACGCTCAGAATATGGCAAGAAAGGGTAGAAGTAGAAATGTAAAAAAAAAAAAATACCTGGCAAAGAAGGCCCTTCTTTACATCATCAAGCTCCCAAATATTAGGTGCCAATGACCTGGTTAGTCTGTCATATATATCAGGTTTTTTGGAGAGTTCCTTCAACTCTTCCACCTGCATTTCAATCAACAAGGTGAGTGCTTTAGGTATGAATGGTCAAGAAATTTGGACCAATAAATGCCAAAAAATCCATACCTTTGCTTCATCAAATGAGATATCATTCATGTTTCCTCCCAACCGGTTCTCAACTTCTATCATGTCCTCTGCCACCATTCTTGACTTGTCAGCCTTCTTTATATGAAGACAGTCAATATAAGTCTGCAAGAAAAGAAAAAGGTGCTGTCAGGCTAAGACTTCAGCACAACTAACAAGTTCAATTCTATTTTTGAGAAAATGTACAAAAGGTGCACCTTGAATAATGATTTTACAGATCTCTGTGTTGGTCCAACTCTCACACTCATGGCCCTGTAAATCCCAGTGACCTACCAAAAGAATCCACGTTGATAAAGCTAGAAAAATAAATGCTCTATGAATGCACTTCATTCTTAAGATTGGTCTTACCTCAACCCTGTCACCAGGCTTTGCAGTATCAACCAGCTTGTCATGCATTAACAAGCTTACAGTATGTGGTGTCCCTCCTTCAGGTATCTCATCCGGAGTCTCTTGAAGCCGAACGATCTGCTTATCAGCAAACCTAACTCAAGGACGTAGATTAGTCTTATTCAGTTCAAGTTAATTAAACATACTTTTCTCGTGCTCCATCCACCCCTCAGTTTACATGTTAATCATTACAACGAGATGAATGTCTAATAGAAAAGGAATCAACAGATTAACTGACAAACATTGTAAAGAACAGTAGGTTAAATTTTATGCAGAAATTAGTCGTGAAAAAGATGAAACAAAGTAAAACAGTATTTCTGACAGGATTACATTGCCTTCAATGTGCTCATGCAAAAATATTTTCTTTTCAGGATTAGCATACTTGGTATAAGAATGTTCTTAAATAGACGTCACAACTACAGATACTTGCAAAATATTATTGACACATATATCAACTTATTCACTTTTGACAAGCGCAAGGAATTAGCAAGCAAATATTACCAAAAATTGTACATACTAATAGTTTGGATAAGACACAACGTACAGTTTTCTAATCATATTAAAGTGACATCAAACTTGGCAGCAGATTACCTGCATCGGTTGTGTACCAGCGTCATTGAGTTCCTTGCTTGGCACTCTTCCTTCAAGCATATAATGGGCTCAGATATTCGCCCTAATTAGTTAATCGGCTCCATTGTCAGTACAAACAGAAAACTTCATTTGAGCAAGCATATAAGGCCAATCATGCAAACAGGAAAGAACGAGTCCAATGAAATTTGAACTCACCTCTCTCAATAGCTACAGGGTCAGTGTAGTATCCACACACAAGACATCTAAATATCGCCTCTCTGATCTCAGGAATTATCGAACTACACCGTATAATCATTCCCTTCAGTGACACCATCCTCTCAATGTCTAATAAAAAACCAAGTGGTCTTAGGCCCCAGTTTAATGAAGGAGTGGAGATAACTACCAAAAACTAAATCAATCAAACTGAATTAGAAACATTACCAGATGGGTTAAGATTTCTCATTGAAGTAGAAGTTCTGAGATTGAAAATCCGAGTTTGAATGTGCTTTTCGAACAATGGGTTGATTTGAGGCACCATTTCCATCAGAACAATATCAAAAATTGCGAGAACCTCGAGAGGATACCTCACCATCTTTGTATATAAATCCGCATCGTAATTGAACACATCCTGCGCATCCACATGGAGCGAATCCCCTTCAACTTCAAGAACCCTCTTGATTGCATCCGCGTATTTTCCCTCAGTATGAAAATCCCCCTCAGACTGCGACGCCTGACGATCGCGGAAATGCCTCAAAAACCGAATAATCGCTCCCTTAACATCGTCAACACTAATACTCGTCCCCCACACAAAGGTCGGATGGTCCTCGTCCATGTCGTCACCATCGCCAGGCTCCGTCGACGGCGGAATATCATCCGTTGAAGTAGGTGTAGCAGCCACCGGAGTCGCTCGGCTACCAGACGCTCTTCGTCCACCACCTTGCCGGCGCGAGCGCGGCTCCGTAGCCGTCGGGGAGGTTTCCGACGAGGCCAGTCGAGATCGTTGACGCGGCGGTGTAGCAAATTCCGAAGGAGTAGATGAGCGGCGACGGCTTCGACGGCGATAACCGTCGCCTGAGGACGAAACGGTGTTTCCAATGGGACTAGAGAACGAATCATCAGGCGATGAAGGACCTGCCGAGACGAAGAACAGAAAATAAAGAAATGAACGTTCAATTCACGTCGAAGTAGACTAGTTAGCCGACTATTTAGAAAGATACCGACCTGTATTGAAGTTAACCGGAGAAGAATCGGACGCCATAGCTACTGGACAGTGAAGCAGAGAAATTCGGAGGGATGAAGAAATGGCCAGTGAGCCAAGGGACTTGGCGGGAACATACAGCTTTCTTCCCGCCAAAACTGTGAGGTGCTTCATATGGAATGGGCCTATTGGGCTTTCCAACTCGGGAGCCCATATCACTCAGAAGTCTTCGTTTTACCATGTTGAAACATTTTTTTATTGTTCACAGTCTAAAGTTTTCCAACTCAAATAACTTTTATTGAATAAAAAGTTCAACCGAACTCGACCTTTATTTGGTGATCATAAGGAATCGTTACGAGGAACTAAGATTTCGCCTGTCACAATCCCACTTTGATGGCAGCGGACTTGAGATTGTGCGGCACTCACTCCCCAGCAACAAGTGAGTTAAAACTATTCGTTCTTGTGTCGCCTACGGCCAAGCGACGTATGCTCGAACCTCTGGCCCCAGTTCAAGAAAACAATTTTAGAAAACGGGGGCAAAGAGATTTCGGAAGAGAGTTTTGAAAGCAAGATTTGAGAAATAAAAATTGGTGTTATATGGGAATGTAAGCAAAATGTAACAACAACGGCTTACTTCATATAATTATCAAGTAGGGAGATATGATTTACCTTATTGATCGAATATCTCAAGGCAAAAACATTGATTTTGGAAGGTATTTCAAAAGTTGTAACCTTAAACGACATTTAGCATTACATCTTTCGAAGCTCTATACAAGAAAAACTGTTAATGTTAATTTCTAGTATGCTGGGATGAAGTACGAGAGCCAATGTAAGACGTAGAGATATGGAGTTCAAGGCGAGAGACAATAAATTTATAAGGGTAGCACCTATGAAAGGAGTTCTCGGTTCGGGAGAAAATGGAAGTTCAAATCACGTTTCATCAGGCCATTTGATGTATTAGAGTGAGTTGGACGGGTAGCTTACAGATCTGTCTTGCCACTTGCACTTTTAGGAATCCACAATGTGTTCCACGAATCAATGTTACAGCGTTATATATCAAATTCACATCACATGATAAATTTCGAGCATTACAATTGATATCAAAGCCTAGTTTTGAGATTTCGTAGACTACTTAGCGAGTGATAAAAAGTTCTTAACGAGAGAGCAGATAAACTCAGGTAAGTTTAGATTCGCAGCCACACAAGTCATACAAACCTCTAGTTTCCATGACACCAACGAGAAGAACATGCCCACAGTGGTGACTACCGATGTAGCAACACCGTCGTCGGTCGACACTATCGCCATCAAATAGAAACCTCCATTTTCTGTTCATCGGAATCACCGGTTGAAAGAAATAATGGTAATGTTCTTGTTTTACCATATGTAGTTGTGTGATTATGATGTATCAGAACTAATTAGTTAAATTGTTATTTCAAAGTTCTAAAGAACATGTTTTACTCGCCTTTTGCCTCGATGATAGCATCCTTTTCATATGATTTTGAATTACAAAATAGTTAGCTAGCTTTAAGTAACGATTCCTACTGGAACAGATGAGGAAAGTCAGATCTTACAAATTTTATGGACACAAGATAAAGATGATATGGAAGTTAGTGTTGATGTTCATCAGAAACCATTCCAACAAATTAGGTTTACAGATTAACTAGTTACTTCTACTTGCAGCAAACGCAACTACTAATTTTTCCTTTTACAACATCTATTTACTTGTAAGCTAAATTGGAATTAGTTTCGGTTACCTTTTGGAATGCACTTGATGGAGCAGACGCGTTCTTGAAGCTGTTCTTGTCCTAAGAACTGTGCTTCAATCCGAGTCCGTGCTTGCCGCGGACACATCCAGGCTTGGTGAACAAAAACGGCGATCTCTTCGAATTATACATCCTCGTAAAACCTCTTTTCCCTAATTTCCTCATCCTCTGCCGTCCGAGTTTGTCACTAACGGACCACGGAACGAGTTCGTCGTCCAAATCGCACTCATCGCCATCATCATCATCATCAACAACATCGTCGTCGGATTCATCCTCCTCCAGATCGTTACAGCCGTACGCGAAACCGTTTTCCACCTGATTCTGAAGCAAATAAACATCATCGAAGGGACCATCGATTCGCTCCTCAACAAGAGAAGAAATCGGCATCGCTACAACACGCTTCCCTCGAAGATCCTTAGGAACTCGGACATCAACGCTGCAACTTTCCCCTTCTTCTTCTTCTTCTTCTTCTTCTTCCTGCTCATCTCCATTTCCATCTATTTCGAAATCCGCATCTGAAGCATCGAGCAACTCCCAGTTCGAAAGGCGTTCGACTTCTTCAACAAATTCGTACTCTAAATCATCGTGAAACACGAATTCAACAGACGATGATGATGAAGAGGCTGCTCCAGAAGGGGCTTCCATCAAATATCGATCAGATTTTCTCTCAGTGAAATTTGATCCGATAATTGTTTGCAGTTTTTTATTTTTTTTTGTTTTTCAGCAGAATTGTCTGCAAATATAAGGGGTAGAAATTTATGAGGTCCCAAGAGGCGCTCACATGATTTGACGTGCAGACTCCAATGAATGGCTGCCACGTGGAGTAACGTGGGCATCAACCTTCCGTGCAGACCACGTTGGGGTTTACCCATCAGTTATTTTTCTTTTCTTTTCTTTCTTTTTTTTTTTTTTGCTGAAATTTCCTTTTGAAAAACAAAGTTTGAATTTTACTTATTTACTTTTATATGTATTTAATTTTAATTAACAAAATGTTAAATATAAGTTGACTTTTTTTTTCTTTTTTTCTTTTTTTTTTTATCAATTTTGTTTTATAGATTTGAGAGGAATAAGAAAATATAGCAATCTAAATAAATTTCTTATTAGATAATTTTAACATTTAGAGGTTAAATTAAAAATAGATCAAATTGAAACTTTTTTTTAAAAAAAATAAAGAAATTATAATGTACTAAGATTGACAATTAATTTGTTTTTAGTTTTAAATTATATTTGTTGATAAATATGTAAATAATGTTTTAAATGAAGATAAATATAAACAAATAAGTATAATTGAAAGTTGATAAAATTTGAAGATAAAGAAATGTTTCCTTTTTGTCCCAATCAATAAAGAAGGGTGAAGGTTGTTAGTTGTAGTTCATTTTTCCTAAACAAAGCCATTTTGGTTCCAATGTTCTCCCCAACTAAACGAGATGTATTAACTTTGAAATGTTTACTCTTAACCCTCCATGAGAGATTTTGAGTCAGAGCTTAACTTGAGTAGAGCTGAATCTCTAACCTCGACCCTTGGAAATGCCTACTCCTAACTCTCCACGAGGAGTTTCGAGTTAGAGCTTAACTTGAGTAGAGTTGAATCTCTAACCTCGACCCTTGGTTGGTAGGGTGATTCTCCCCCAATGGAGAAATGAGGTGATTAGAGGAAATAAATATTCTCACTACCTTTGCCGGGCAGTATAATTATGTAATAGCTCAAGCCCTCAACGCTAGTAAATATTGTCTTCTATGAGTTTTCCCTCTCGGGCTTCCCCAAGATTCTTAAAACACGGGTAGAGAGAGGTTTTCACATCCTTGGTAAAGAATGCATACTTCGTTCCCATTTCCTTCCAACCGATGTGGAATCTCACAATCCACCCCCCTTGAGGGTCCAACATCCTTGTCGGCACACCGCCCAATGTCTGGCTCTAATACCATTTGTAATAGCTTAAGATCACCGCTAGCAAATATTGTCCTCTTTGGGCTTTCCCTTTCGGGGTTCCCCTGAAAGTTATTAAAACGTGTCTGCTAGGGAAAAGTTTTCTACTCTTATAAGAAATGTTTCGTTCTCTTTCTACCGATGTGGGATCTCACAATAACGTTGCATACTAAGATGCAACAAATAATGAACCGAAGTAATGATACGATAGAAATATAAATAACAGCGTTATCAGATGATTTACACAAACCATAATACTACAACTTTTAAAGGGTAATCAATCTTATGCAAAAAGGAATTGATCAAAAAGAGAAGCTTCAGACAATACAAAAGTGGAGCTACATGATAGATACATTTTAGAGGAAGGGATGAGAAAGTTACATCAAAAGATAGATAATAACAACAAATACAGAAATCTTACATTTTCCCTCAGATCAAAACCCAATTTCAACATGGAAATAATCGAATTTACGAAACAATTTCTAATAATCGTATCGTAAACGCCTGCATATAAAATAATCTAATCGATAAAGGTTCTATGAACAACTTAACAAAGAATAGCCGAAGTCAAAATTCATGAATTTCTGAATATCATATTTAACTAAACAGAGGTTAAGAAGAACAAAGGAGATGGACCAAACCTTGGATTGGAAAAGCTTCATAACTTTCTATTCTCTGTGATAGATTGGTTGACGAATGAAACACCTTTGTGGCTGCAAGGGACAGCTCAGGTAATGGCTGTAAACAGTCTCGGTTGAACAGTATAATCATCGAACCTGGGAAGGAGAGCAGACTAGTCCAGACGCATCTGCCCCGACAGCAGCGAGATCACAAACAGTACAAAACTGCCCTTCCTGGCTTAGCACAAAATGGGTACTGCAGTACGGGCACGAAACATTTTTCTGTCCTCGATAAATTGGCACGTACGTAGCCCCACAGATCACAAAAGGGTTTCTGAAATCATAGTTAAGTTTGGTAGCATCTGTCATATTCCTCTCAGCAGCCTGCAGCACTTGCCTGGCTGCCTTTGCTTGGTTCTCGACGACAGGATTGGTTTCGAGCAACCGCCTGGCAAAGTTACCTGCTGTAGCAAGGTTCTTAGCCTTAAAGCAGACAGTCATAGCATTCTGCAAGGCAAGTCTTAAATGAGGTAGCTGTAGATTGCAGTGAGTAAAATAGGCTGCAAGTTCCTGTTGTCGTGTCGGATTGTCCTTCATTTCTCTCCTCTTGAGCTCCATCTGCAAGCCTAATACATACTCTTTCACTATAATAATCAACTCCTTCACCTCATCAACTTCTCTCTTTGACTCCACAACTACCAATGGTATTGTATGAATAATGCTGAGGAAGAGCTTTAGAGCTTCTGTGAATTTCCCAGATGTTGTTGCCTTGTAACCAGCTTTCAGCTTCTCTTCCAACTGAGAGAAGTTAAAAATGAGTGCAGGGGGTCCTCTCACATTTGGGCTTGCAGACTCGCTCCATCCTCGTTCGACTGCCAGGGTTATCACTGGAGCGGATGAAAACGCACGAAGATGGGAGTGGCTGCCAGCATGAAGATCGAGAAACATTGATTTTAAGGGAGCAAAGTTCTTTATTCCAAGTTGTCTGCTCAGCAATCGCATAGCAGTATCGAAATTGCCAGCAGCAGCATGTTCGGCAGCAAGAGACGACCTCTGGATCCAAATTTGGCTTACAGGCATGCCGGGAGTTGGGGCCACGAAAAATGAACGTGTACTGATGGAAGTTTTGGGAGTTTCTGCTTCAGGAGGAAGCTCCAAGTCCTCAAGGTCCCAGCCACCATCTTCTTCGTTTTCTTCAGCCACTTCCCCATCTTCTAAAATTACTGTAGTATCTCCATTTCGCAAACCATCAACTTCAACCATTTCCAGCTCCTCGCCCCAATCACCATCAGCAGCCTCGTCTTCTTCATCAGCGACACCCCGGCCAACAGTATCTAACCCACCTTCAAATATGCCTTTCATGACTCTCAGAAGAGGCCAATCACCACCACACATAACGGGAGACGGGGGCATCAAAAGAGATGGTACTTTTCCCTTCGGCAAAACTGGAACATCATCTCCCAATTCAGCAGCAAGACGTTCAGCAACATCGTGCAGTCCATGAACGGAAGCTGTGATGTAAGCAAGGGGCAAATGACCAACATTCTCCAATATCTTAACACGCTCCCGAACATCACCCAGATACAAGGCATTGTGAAATTGGCCCATCACGTCATTTTTAACTTCAGCAATTTTAAGCATCTTAGACAACTTATCGATGTTACCAGTTATGAGATAAAGAAAGGATAACCTCTCGAAGTTTTTTGTTCTCTGATAGGCATATTCCACAATTCCTGAATTGCCTTGGCGAAGAGCCTCAACACCCAATTTGTACCAGTGATCTTTCTCATCAAGAGCAGTTGCTGATGCAACAGCAATTTGAATGCTCCCACTCTCGAGAGCCAAATTAAACCGAGTTCTCTCGTCTTTCACAAAATGAAGAGCAACTTCAGGGAAACCCTTTTGTTGCAAATAACTAATCATTGCTTGCCCACAAAGCTGAGAGTTCTTAATCATGCTCATTACATGGTCAAATTTCTTCTTCAGAAGGGACAGCTTGAAAATATACTCTGTTGCATCGATAACAATGGTTCTACATTTTCCATCCCGATCCAAACAGAAGATAGTATTTCCAGACACCTTTGTGATGTATATTGGGACATCTAGGGTTCTAATTATCCCACTATCTCCATTGGGCAGGCAATATTTGATGTGATTTAACGTCGTATAAATGAACACACCATTATCATCCCACGCACCACTTTTTACACGAATTGTCTCATGAAGCGTGCACTGATGCACAAGCTTCTTGCTGGCAATGATAATCACATGTTTGCTAAGTAAAGCAACAGTCTCCATATCATTCGACCAGATGACATACTTCATAAAGGGGGTTTGTAAGTCACCAAGAACAATTCTTTGCTGAAGATCAAATAAAACCACTCTATCCTCGGCTCTACATAATAAGTTACCTGTTCCAGCATAGAATATTGCATCTGCAGCAATCGGGAGGACACTCTTTTTAACAACTTCATTCTTGATATTCTTGACCAAGACTTGATTGTTACTTTTATCTAACACGGCAAACCTATTACGAGCCACAAAGACTGCCGATCCTCCAACACCTTTCTTTGCATCTTGTACACTATCACCTCTACCAATGCTTTCCTTGGGTATGGCATATAATTCATAGGACCCATTGTCCAGATCTGAGCAAATAAGAACAGCATTTTCGGTAGGACTATACGATATTGATCTTGGGCTCTGATTCAAGCAAATGGATCCAGGACGTCGAATTGGAATTACTTGAGTATCTCTTTGAGTCGAAAACTCATAGAACCGCAAAAACCGATCCTTGGTATAGAAAAGAGAATCTCCACTAATGGCAAAGGCTGGTCGTTCTCTCTCCAACTTAAAGACAATCATGCCACTGTCATGACCCGCAGCCAATAGGTTCATCTCAGGATGAGCAGCAAGAATCCAGAACCGGTCGTGTTCACGACGAAATGTCTGGATACCAGTACGCTTTGTAACATCCCACACACGGATGCTCTTGTCCTCTGAATTAGATATGATTAAATCCTGTTTAGCATGGAACATAACACTTGAAACATTATTCATGTGACCTCTCAATGTGTCCACTTCCCAAGCCTTTGTGTCTGGAAAAAAATAAACAGTCAGCATTTAGCAATTTGTAATATCAAAATCATAGCATGAAAAAAAAAAGAGCCAGTATATTCAACCTTTATTTCTCTTTTATGCATTTATAATTGCCTTTGCATAAGAATGCGAAAAAAACGAATGAATCTTAACTAGATGGAGATGGATAAGAGGATTATAATTATAAATTCAAAGAAAGAAGTTCAAATGACTTGTCTAGGATTCATAGCATAATTTTCTTATCATCCAAGAGAGCATTCTAACATAAAGGATAGTAAATCTATGAAGGAAAATTATAAAGTAGTTACCATTCATTCGCCACAACTTTACTTGCCGATCATCAGCTCCTGAGACAATCAAAGGCAGAGTTGGATGGAAAGATGCCCAGTTGACCCCACGGTCATGACCTTCCAATACATATTTAACCACAGCATCGACACCACCAAAAAGATCTGTATTCATCTGACTCAAACGCAAAATGTCATCTGAAGGGGACACTGTCTTCTTTCTCAAGGCACCAATGTCCCAAACACGAACAGTCTGATCTAGGGAGGCAGACACGACGAGATCATCTTTGGGGTGGAATGAAGCACACATAACATAATGATTGTGGCCAGTCAACACAGAAATGCAAGTACGAGACTGCCAGTTCCATAGGCGAATAGTTTGGTCATCACTGGCACTCACAATCCACGGGTACTCATGGTGAAACTGAACGGTGCGTATATAATCAAGGTGCCCAAGAAGAGTAAACAAGCACCGGTGTGTCTTATAGTTCCAGACTTTAATTTTGTAATCATCCCCTGAAAGAGAGAGCCTTTCAAAGTTATAACAAATTCCAGAGTTAAAGAAAAACGAAATGAACATCTCATAGGACATTGACACTATGCAATATCTCGCAAATACTTAACCATGCTAGTGCTAGAACTCATAAACAAAAAAAATAATCACGTTAACACCTCAAAAACTAAACCAATTATGCCATGACTCATCAAACACATACACACCATTATCCAATAAAAGTTTCAAATTCTCATTTGTCTCCCCCCACAAACCCTGTAAGATACCATTTTAAGGAAGAATATTACCATTTTGTTTCCTAAAAATCATTAATATCATATGCACTACCAACAGCCAAGGAAAAGGTCATGTTGGAGAAGAAAAAGGCAGCTGCAGATTAGATCTCTTAACCTCTGACACAGGAAGGTAATCGTTAATTGACAAGAACTACTCTGCAGTGACAAATTCAGACCGTCAAATTGGTTATGAGCTTTAATTGTCTTGCATCTGCAAATATTAAGTTAAGATCCACATTTTCTGATATCACTGAGTACATTACCGACCCTCTAGATAGCGAACACCGGGATCTACCAAAATGCAATGCAATGATGACCAACTGAGACACGCCCAGAATTTCTATTAACCAACACTAGATCCAGGTGAAATTTAGATATTGTTGTGTTCAGAGACAGTGGAATCATACAAGATCCATTATACTATCAAAGGCCTAAGAGAACTTGAGATACTCTATCCCAAAAAAGAAAGAATGGAGATTTTAAATAAAAAAAAAATGTACCTCCGGACACAAACAACGGCTGAGATTTATGAAAATGAACACCACGAACAGGCCCATCATGTTCATCAAATCTATCAATAAGAGTGCCCATCCGGTAGTCCCAAAGCTGGATCACACCGCTGTGAAGACTCGCAAGGATCCATGGCCTCTTACTATGGAAACTCAGCCCCTTCACTCTATTACTCTTCGTCTCAAACTTCGTCAGCATCTCGACCGATCACAAAACGCCACACCTCTCTACAAAAACAATTGCCTCATTACCATCAACACACCAGAACTACAAATCCAAACGAAAACTTCCCAATCCAGTAAAACAATGCTTTACAAATAAGTAACAGCACTACCAAACAACCACAAAACAAATCAATGTTCTTCAAAAAAAACAAAAAGCAAGCAAAATCAATCCCAGAACAAATTAGAAAAAAAAAAAAAAAAAAAAAAAAAAAAAAAAAAAAAAAAAAAAAAAAAAAAAAAAAAAAAAAA